CATGTTGTGTGAATCTAGTTAAAACAAGCCATAGATAGCACATTGTGTAAACCCAGCCACAACCTGCTAAATTGTCTATTTTAAAGTCTGCCTCTGAATAGACTTCACAGAAGAAAGTTCCAGAACATAGGCCTCCAGTTACCTTGGTGATGGAAAGCTCATTGTATAAACTAGGGACAAGTCTTTTCCTACAGGCTGGGATTTGTGTTGCTTTCTCTTTACTTGTTTTTGTGTATTACAACATGGCTATGCTAAATCTGAGATAAGAAAAGTTCTTTCTTACAAGGAGAAGCAGGTGGTATCAATGGTTCCTTCCCTGCATCCTTTCTATCACTAGAAATCATAGTAATCTTTATATAAGGAAGAGAAAGTTGGATCCTCATTAAGATACGTAGACAGAGATATATATCTCAAATTAGGCTACTAATCATCCTTTTTATTTATTTTGCCTTAAAAAAAAAATCCTATCTCCCCTCCCCCACCAAAGGATCAGAAGACAATATATTGAATTTTTCCCTACATCCTTTTTATCTTCACAACAATCCCAGGAGGTGGGTTGGCCTAAGAAATAGCTATAGCCCCAAGTCCATCCAAGAAAGCTTTACATCTGGAGATCTGAATTCAAGTTTTCCTGGTCTCAGTGAGGACGTAATTGTTATAACACATTTGGGCAGTAGATGGGATCTACTGATGGGATAGGTCTTTGGGTGATTTTTCAGTAAATCACTAAGGGTCCTGATTCTTAAGATTTTTAACAATATCAAAACTTAAAATGTGATAATCATCATGTCTTATGGTTGCCCTTCTATAAATCATTATCTCTCAACCTCATTGTTCTTTATGTGTATAATGGGAATATGAGTTGGTTCCCTTTCACCAGCTCTTTTTTTGACTCTGCAAAGGCAAGCAATGCTTACAGTAATGCTTGGCTCCTGGTGACCACATGATCCATGTGGCTTTCTTGGCAGCAAGACAAAGGTGGTTCACTACTGCCAGTTTCTAAGATGCTTTTTTGACTTCCAAGTCTACTTTATAGACCCTAGATTTTCTGGAGGTCTCCAATCCAAGTACTAACCAGGTCTGACCTTGCTAAGCTTCTGTGTCCAACAAGACCAGCCAGGTGACTTTTATGACTCCACTGGTAGTTTTAATGTATATACTATATTCCTTGGTCTATTGAGATATAGGTTTGTATGTGAAGATACTGTGACTCCAAGGGGCATAAGAGGTAATTCCCTCAATTTCTCCCCTCTCCTCCATTTTTGCACTTGCTGGATTAATGGAACTGAGATCTGGCAAAAAACAACAACAACATATCCAAGACCGAGGTGTGTTTGACAGGGAAAATGGAGTGAACAATTGCAAGTTACACATAAATTGCAACAAACAACAGTGAGTAGATGAATTAGTGTACTTTGGTAGATTGCTTACTAAAGATGGATGGGGAAATTTTAAGATGTGCAAACGCTGGTAGAAAAGTAGTAGATAGTGTGTGTGTTTTTTCTGAGGAATGAGTTTTTGTTAAAAGAAAAGAAAATGGCTGTCCCCAGGACCATGCTCTGCCCACTCTTATGTCAGGAGAAACATAAAGGTAAGTGGAATACAGTGGGAACGGTGGACTTCAGAAGTGGGGTTGGTAAAAGAAGAAGAGATCAGGTCAAGAATGGGCGGATGCTGAAGGGATGTGGGCTCCATACAAAAGCAAGGGAGACACGTGAAAGAAGTGCATTTGATTGCTTTGATCGCTGAAAGATAATGAATGAGGATGTAATCAGAAAAGAAAAATATGAAGGGAGAGTGAATGGGTTGAAAGAGATGGCTGAGAAAGTCATGCCTGATTACATCTTTTTTAAAGAAAGGTTTTTAAAGAAAGTTTCCCAATTTCTTGACTTTAGACATTCATTTAACAATAGGTGGGGTGAGATATAAACACAGGTCCTTTGTTCTCTCTCTCTCTCTGGAGCCTAGTGGTCAAAGCTTATGGGTATGAAGAGATGGTGCAATCTCCAACTGAATGGATGTAGTACAAACTAGAAACAGCTATATTTCCATTTCTCCTTTCTCATACTTTGAATTTCTTTTGCTTAGTCTTTCTTAATCCTTTTCTGTGCTTTGTAAAATGTTGCTTAAACAAAACAAAGCAACGCAGGGGTGCATCTGGGCATCTGGATGTGTTCCTAATGCAATTTCTCTGTTCCTGTGTTAAACATTCAAGAATCCTGTCTAGCATGTAGCTGGGGAAAAGGAATTGTACTGCTTCTGAGAAACAATTACTAACTTTTCTGTGTCTCCTTTGCAACAAAAGACCCTGGTTGTGTTTGCTGCTGCACTGAACCACATAGCAGCCAATCACATTTTAACCCATCTTGTTGTGTTGCTAGTGGAGGGTTCAGAGCGTCCACCAAATGTAGAACGGGTTATTGTGTAATCGTTCTTAACTATTTTTCATTTTTATCTAAAAAGTGAAATAAGGACACCATCAACAGAAACCAGGCAGATCGCAATTATACAAGAAAGAAAACCTAGTCAACTAAATGTAACAAAAGAAATAAGATAACTTTACTTACACTATTGCTTCTAAGGAGGCCTAAATGTCTACAAATCTTGCAAATCAGCAGATGTATAAAAAGGGGGAGTCAGAAACCCAAGGGTTCTTTTTATTATTATTGTATGGTTGGTCACACAGTCAGCCAGATGTTTAGACTGGATTTGGCATTTTTATCCACTCATCGAGTCCTTCCCAAGGACCTGGGATAGGCAGATGTTGTTGTTAAAGGTATCATTGCAGGTTGTAAGCTGTTCCAAGTAAAGCTGCCTTTTGCAATTG